GGCCTATGCACATTGGCATAGTCCGTCCCGGCCGGAGCCATTTCAACATGGCCAGGAATGTTGTATCTAGTTCTAATGGCGTCCAGGTGAGACTGAAGCAACTCGCTATGCTCCCAGGGATAAGAGGGGCATGTCGTATTGAAATCTTTCCGGACACTCAAATCCTTCGGTAAAACATTATTTACCGTTAAAGGAACAAGGGTCTTCTCCACTTCTTCCCCTTCACCATCGGAAGGGGGCGGAACCCTAGAAGAAGCGCCGTCCTTAGTCCTTTTGCTTTCTTGACGGCGTTTCACCATGATACGATTTATAAGAATGAAGTGTTAGTAATGAGAGATACGATCCTCAGAAATGGTATCTCTCTGAAAGCGATACAACTCTTGCAAGAAAGAAAGATGAAGAAACAAAGGGAAACTCTCTGAAGGTTCGAAAGATGAAGCTCTTTGAACCACTCCTCTATTTATAGGAATGAGGCACACGGAAATCGAAGAGGCACAATTCTGAAACTGGCATGGGAAGCCAAAACGTCACGTCATGTTCTGAACAGTCTCGGGAACCAAAAATAATGATGACGCATGTGACTGGTGACATCACCTTAAAAAAGGGGGTCGCATGTCAACGGCTCAATAAATATTATCCACGCTCACGCTCTTCGAAAGAGGCGCCTATGGGCGCGGCCAAATTTCAGTAAAAAGCAAATCGTGCATGTCCGTCCATTGAAGACGGTCATCGAGTACGTCTCCAACGAACGGAGGGACTAACTGTATAGGGTTAAATTTGGCTCATAATGCCCCCACGCCAAATGGGCACGTCCCTTATAATAAGGGCGACCCGAGTGAGGGCACGGCCCAAGTTGGTGATGAAGAAGTGACGTCGTTTAGTGCCTGACCTTTTTACTAAGTAGAAGCCACCAACTTTTGTACCTTTTTGATTATTTCGAGGGAGGTCTCCTACTATATAAAGGAGACCTCCACATTGTAATAGGGGGATGGTTATTCTCGGATAATACAATTTCTCTCTCTATCTCTCTCTCTCTTATCTCTTTCTTGATTTTCCAACCATTGCTTCCCTCTTAAGCTAAGTCTATTTCACTACGCACTTACAGATCTACAAACATTCTTGAAGCAACAATCATCTCTTGGGCTTATTATATTTGATTACAATTTACCCCTATATATTTTCGATTGTTTTTAAGCTTATAAAATACGAATATAATTTTTGAGCCAAACACTTCCCTTTATGTTACCTCCTTAATATACTAGTGTGTTTCTTTTGGACCAAAAAAAAGAAAAAGAGAACGGGTAATGTACTACATAATAATCGGAGAATTGGATGGTTAATTACTTGTTACGTTGAAAACATGTTAACCACCATATCACTAATCAAGAACCATAGGCACCTTGTTCCAAATGGTATCACGTGACACCACTTTGTCGAATTTTCTTTCGTAATATTTATATATAAATAATAAATAAAATTAAAAGATAAGGTATAAATATAAAAAATAATATTACTTGTTGTTGTATTAATTTATTTATTAATTCAGTTTTTAAATATTAATACCACTTATGGCAATTCTTACGTACGCTAATGCTGCTAGTACCAACGAAGTGCGGATATAATAATTCATACCCTATCTAATGAAAAAACAAAGGAACACGTAGAACCAAAGAGCAATCTACAATATTAATCTATTACATTCACTGCAGCTTTCCGTTTTACTTCACGCAAATCTTTTTCGTGTATTTTTAAGTGCCTTTGTTTTTAAAATCTGAATTTTAATTATTAAGTGCGCTTGTTTTTTTTTTTTTTACTTTACAGTCACTTAATGAGTCTGAATAGGTCTATATGATTAAGATTTATGACATAAACTTAATTTCATTAAGATGCTATCATCCACATTCGTTATTAATTGTCGTAAATGCGTACAATTATCAACTACTACCATGACACCCGCCACCACCATACTCAACCACCATCACCACCACCACCATTCTCAACTACAAGCACACACTTATCCACTTCAACTACCACAACTAACCACTCTATCACCATCAACAATTAGCCGGCATTGCCCACTATTATAAATTACAATCACTCACCATCACCTTCCTTAATCACAACCAACACCACTACCAACATCCACCATTATTAACTATCACCACCCACCACCACCATCCTCAACTATAATCGTCATCACTACCAATCACCACCAGCTATTACCCAAAACTACCACAATCAACCAAAACCACCTCCAATCACTTCCTCTACTCGGCATTCACAAGCACCACCATTGGTCACCACCACCACCAAATATATATATATATATATATATATATATATATATATATATATATATATATTATCACAACCCCAATTTTCCTCCGTAAGATGTCCTGACGGCAGACTAGGTAAGTCTAACAAGCATGCAGAATAATTAATAATCTAAAATCTCAAAATGTCAATAACTGTATAAAGTAAAAACTGCAACTCAAAGTATATACAACTCCCAAAACTCGGTAGATATAAGTCATAAGGTCTAGATACAATGTTGCACAATCCTATACATCGTCTCTATCAAGAAACATAAAGAAACAAGGAAAAGACTGGATAGAAGGGGACTCCGAGGCCTGCGGACGCGAGCAGGTATACCTTGAAGTCTCTGATAAGCAAGTCACTCCACACACTAACACCGAGGCTGATAAGATGTACCTAGATCTGCACAAAATATGTGCAGAAGCGTAGTATGAGTATACCACAATGGTACCCAGTAAGTGCCAAGCCTAACCTCGGTAGAGTAGTGATGAGGTTTGGTCAGGGTTACTGGAGATAATAAGAATAAGGCAAAAGATATAATGACATAATAAGAATAAGAGGGAACTGAAACAATAAGTTTGCGGAAAGTAACAACACTGAATCAAAGAAAAAACAAATACAACGCGAAAGGATACAAGAATATTACAAATTAAGGAAAACTACTAACAACAATACATTAGATAGAGAAAATCAACAAGGGCACTCCCGATAGAGAAAATCAACAAGGGCACTCCCGAGGTACCACCTCATAGTCCCAAATGTAAAATAACTCACAATCTTTTCTTATATCACCGCGGGAGCCTTTATATTTTATTTTGAAAAGCATTTTTCCGAAATAGCATCTCGCGTTTTACCACCTTATCACACCGCATGGCTTCTAGTAGTTCCCCTACTAGCCACGCGTATCAAGCCCACCTTATATCAACGCATGCGTTTCAACACCCAGACCTTATACCACCACATGCGTATCAATAATCACAACGTCACGGCAGAAACCTCGTGCAACAATAACAATCGCACGACAGAAACCTCGTGCAACAACCAAACAATTACCTCAACAATAATCACGAAAACCAAAACATATCAAATGAAACAATGATATTTCAAGGATTGCAATTTCAAATAAACAATCCCACGGTTAGATAATGAATACGGAATAATGAAAAGCAGGTAATTCAACTAAGCATGTTGTACAAGTTACAAATAAGAGATAAGACAAGTAAACATGTGAAATTAGGCTAAACATGATGACTATACATGCTAAAGTAATTCAATTAAGGCATAAAAAAGAAACTACTTAGCTAAAATCGAATTTTCAACATTTAGCCCGTGTATGCACTCGTCACCTTGCGTACACGGCCTTCACATATCACAAGTTATCACCACAGTACCAAATCGTAAGGGGAGTTTCCCCCCACATAAGGTTAGACAAGTCACTTACCTCAAACTGCGCTCAATCAATCAATTAGAAGGCCTTTCTCTCGATTTTCCAACTCCGAGCGGTTCGAATCAAGCCAAAACAATTACATACTATAATAACTATAGGAAATTAATCCAAATAATAAAATTAAATTTAGCAAAGAATTGGAAAATCGCCCCAAAAAGTCAACTCGGCCCGCGTCTCGGAACCCGACCAAAATTACAAAAATCAAACACTCATTCGATATCGAGTGCAACCATACAAGAATTATCCAAATCTGACCTCATTTAGCCATTCAAAACCCAAAAACTTGGTCTAAGAAATTCTACACTTTTTTCCCATTTTTTCCACCCCAAATCTCTAACTACATGATGAAATTAATGATAGATTAGTGGAATGTCATAAAAAACGAGCTAAGAATCCTTACCCCAACACTTCTTCTGAAAATCCCTCAAAATCTCCCCTTAATACGGGCTCTCAAAGTCCAAATGTGAAATAAGAGAATGAACCCTCGTTTTGAATTTTAAGTTCTGATGCCCAGTTATTCCTTCTTCACGAACACAGAAAAGTTCTTGCGTTCGCGAAGCACAAAGATGTCACTGCCCGGCTTTCCTCTTACGTGAACGCGAGTATCCACTAGCGAACGCGGTGCACTGATAACTAGGGATTATGATGCATTTTATACTCCT